ACCAACCCTCAACCCCCTCTCTATTTATATGAAGAAAAATAATCTCCCGCGCTTGCGTCAATATCATCAACGTGTTTAATGTGCCATGCGCGTTGCTATGACACAACACATTCATTATTTCTGAATACACTCACACAGACATATACATGTAATCCTCAATTTTATGGCAAAAAAAAAAAAATTCCTCTATTAATCCTAATTTATTTGTGGATTTTATGGTTTTTAACATTTCCCCCGCCCCTTGCGCTCTTTTTATATTACGCAACAATGGTTAATTAAACCATACACATATACATATATGTTACATTATGTTACGTTACACAATTTTGTGATATAATATGTTATATTATGTTACATTATGTTACGTTATACAACATTATGTTACAATATGTTACGTTTTACAACATTATGTTACAATATGTTATATTAAGTTACGTTAACCAATACTATGTTAAAATATGATGCATTATGTTACTTTACACAATATTATGTTACAATATGTTACATTATGATACATTATACAATATTATGTTACAATATGTTATTTTATCTTACGTTAGTTAATACTATGTTACAATATGATACATTACCTAATATTATGTTACAATATGTTACATTATGATAGATTACCTTCTATTATGTTAGAATATGTAACGTTAGACAATATTATGTTACAATATGTTATATTATGTTACATTATGATAAATTACCTAAAATTATGTTACAATATGATACATTATGATACATGACCTACTATTATGTTCCAATATGTAACGTTAGACAATATTATGTTACAATATGTTATATTATGTTACATTATGATACATTACCTAAAATTATGTTACAATATGTTACATTATGATACATTATGATACATGACCTTCTATTATGTTCCAATATGTAACGTTAGACAATATTATGTTACAATATGATACATTACCTAATGTTATATATATACATATATATATATATATATATATATATATGTATAACAATAATAATTATCATTGTTTCTATTATAATTAGAAACTTAAAACATATAAATGTATATATATATATATATAGTGTAAACGAAAACTATAGACTATGGAGGTGGTTTTATTATTAGATAAAATAAAACACACCTTTTTAATCGTTCCAGTATATAATTTATGTTCTTTTGTAGCGCGCTTCTTTAAACTAACCAAAGGTCAATTACGCAATAATTTAAAAAGTTCTTGATATATATTACAAACTAAATAAACTGTCGCGCTTAGAGAATTTACTTTTCTTTTTTTTTTATTATATACATAGGTATATATAAAACCATATGTACGCAACATTAGTTCTGTCAATATAATTATTGTACATTATTTTTATTTTTCGTTTTTTAACTATGTCACTGATTATTATTATTATTATTATTATTATTATAATTATTATATACAATTTTATTGTTATAACTATTAATTTTAACAAAATTATTCAAAACAACCATTGATTTTTTGATATATATAGTAGCAATACTATTTTAAAGTAACAACCATTAATTGTAACAACCATATATTTTTAAAGTATAACGACTATTATGATTTTAAATTTAAAAATACTTTCCGTTTTAAATGTATACAAAAAACATTTGTGTTTTAAGACATTTTCCAATGTCTAAGACACCAAATGAGTCTTAAAAGTAAATTATGTATCTACCATAAATTTATATATATATATATTATATTTATATATGTATTGAGAGAGAGGGAGAGTCGTTGTACTGGTATATTTGCAACCGGTATAAAAATAGTTGCTGGGAGTACAAAAGTAGCCATTTGATTATATATTATATATATAAGAGTCAAACTAGCCGATTTCTCTAAAAGTAAAATTATATAGATTTAATTTGTGTCTTCTTTTTTTTCATATATGCATCCTATGCATCCATATTTATTGCAAGTTTTATCTATTTCTTTTTTTTTGTATTCTTTATTCTTTTATTTATATATATATATTTCTTTTTTTAGATTGTAATTTTTCTTTACTTATTTTTTTCTGTATCGTAAATTATTTCTAGAAATATAATATTATTATGAATAATTACTATAGATATGTATTACCCTATAGAAAGAAAACTAAAAAAAAGTTTACTATAAATTATAATTTTAAAATAATTTCTAGCAATAGTTATTAGAATTAATAACTAGAAATAGTAATTGGAACCAATAACATAAAATAGTTATTTAGTTACTAGAAATAATACCTAAGAAATAGTTACTAACTAATAACTAGAAACAGTTATTAACTAATAACTAGAAACAGTTACTATATAACTAATAACTAGAAATAATAACTAGAAATTGTTACTTAGTTACTAGAACGAATAATTAGAAACCGATATTTAGTTACTAGAACAAATAACTAGAAATAGTTACTTAGTTACTAGAAATAATACCTAGAAATAGTTATACTAACTAATGACTAGAAACAGCTATTAACTAATAACTAGAAACAGTTATTAACTAATAACTAGAAACAGTTACTATATAACTAATAACTAGAAATAATAACTAGAAATTGTTACTTAGTTACTAGAACGAATAATTAGAAACCGATATTTAGTTACTAGAACAAATAACTAGAAATAGTTATTTAGTTACTAGAAATAATACCTAGAAATAGTTACTACAACTAATAACTAAAAATAATACCTAGAAATATAATTACTATAACTAATAACTAGGACGAATAATTAGAACAAATAACTAGAAATAGTTACTTAGTTACCATAACTAATAACTAAAAATAGTTACTTAGTTACTATAATTAATAACTAGAAATAGTTACTTAGTTATTATAACTAATAACTAGAAATAGTTACTTAGTTATTATAACTAATAACTAGAAATAGTTACTTAGTTATTATAAATAATAACTAGAAATAGTTATACCAGAAATTCTAAAAAATGAAAAAAATAATGAATAAACGTAACATTAAAACATAACCTTAATAAAAGCACACACATTATGGAAACCAATGGGAAGCAGATGTTTGTGATTATAAAATTTAAAAAAAAAAAAAAAATGAAAAAAAAAGAAAGAAGTCACTATATTTTGCGGTATAACTAATACATTCTTGCATCATCACGAGCAAATATTTAACATGAATGGGCATCTCCACATATTTCCAGATGCATTTCTCTCCAATGGCATTTTTATACACATGTGTTCAATATATATATATATATATAGCGTCTCGTGCAAACACATGAAAAAAAAGTGCACTTGTGCACACTTCCACCATCATTCCTATACACTACTCACAATCAAAAGCATAGTGCGGCATGTCTCTTTCTCTCTCTTATTCACTTTTCTTCTCTTTCCAGATCATTCTCTGTTTCGCTAACCCCACCCTGATTATATCCTTCTCTCTCACTCTTTCCTTTGTCTCAACACTTCTCTCTCTCTATTTTTCTCTCTCTCTCTCTCTCACTCCTACCTTTCGGTCTCTCTCACTCCTATCGTTACCACTTTCGGTCTCTCTCTCTCTGTCTGTCTCTCTCTCTCTCTCTCTCTCTCTCTCTCTCTCTCTCCAAGCTTAGCGGATTATTCTCTCACTCTTTCTCTCACATTCAAGTGGGGTCTTCCCTCACTCTTTCTCTCTCTCTCTCTCTCTCTCTCTCTCCCTCTCTTAGACTCCAGGAGGTCTTCTCCCTCTCTTTTTTTTATTTCTGTCTCTCTTACACTACATGATGATTCTCTCTCTATCTTTCCCTATCTCTCTCTCTATATTTTTCTATCTCTCTCTATAATTTTCTATCTCTCTCTATATTCTTCTATCTCTCTCCTATACACTAGTATCGTGTTATCCTTCTCTCTCTCTTATATTCTAGGATAATCCTCACTATCTCTGTCTCTCCTAGAATCAAAGATGGACTCTCTCTCTCTCTCTCTCTCTCTTTCAGTCATACATACTTGTGGCCACAACCACCCGCGAATATGTATTCGTGCAAAATATATATATATATATATATATATAGAGGGACAACCGCGCGTCCGCGCACTTGCAATTCTCAACTCCTCCTTCCCTCCCCCTTCCGCCCCCGGGTACCCCCCCTTGAAATCCCTTACCCCCTTGCGCGCATTGCTCCTCTCATATCGTGGCACGTTGGCCGCAGGTTGGACTCCCGCCGATCCAGAGTTTGCGGGAAGGGAAGTAAAGAGGGTTTCAAACAAGGATGATAGAGAGTGAGTGAGAGAGAGAGAGAGAGAGAGAGAAACCAAGTGAGTGAGCGGGGGCGGCAAAAGCAAAGGCGGAGAATTTTCAGGCAGTATCTATCAAGCTCGTGTGACGGTGACTCTATACGCGAAGTAAATTCTCCTTTTTTTTCCCAACTATATACAACGGCCCCTATATATATAGATATATATATATATATATATATATACATATACATACATAATCAAAAACCTAAGTCGTCTCCCGTGATCCCCTTTTTTTCCCTCTTGTCTATATGTAAGTGTATGTGTCTCGCACTGCAAGTTACATCACTCTTAACTCTATGACAATGTCGACGTTGTTATTCTATCGTCAAGACGCCGCCGTCGTTGTCGTCACATTTTACGCGCCGGCTCATCATCAAACAACCAAGTTCGTCGACCTCAATGTTTCAATATAAATCTCCCCCCACCCCCCTCTCTCTTTTGTGTATAATATAAATATAAAAAAAAAAAAATTTAACCCAATAGTGTGTCAAAAAAAAAAAAAGTAGAATATGTCAAAAAATTTGCAAGTGTGTGTGTGTAAGTAAGTGTGTTGACCTTGAAAGTGTGTTCTCTTTTTTTTGGTGTGATGATTTTGAATTAGTGCAAGTGCGAAAATATGCGAAAATAGAAAAAAATTCAAAAAAAAGAGGAAACTGTAAATTTTTTTTTCCGTGGAAAAAGGGAGAAAATTTGTGATAGTAAAAGGTGACTTTTGCGAAAGTGGTGAGGAACTATGAGGAATTAAAGAAACTTCGAAAAATCCACTAGAACCTTCAAGAAGTTTAAGAAACTGAAAAAAAAGTATCAAGTACTTCAAAAAGTAATCAGAAATTTCGAAAAATCCACTAGAACCTTCAAGAAGTTTAAGAAACTGAAAAAAAAGTATCAAGTACTTCAAAAAGTAATCAGAAATTTCGAAAAATAACTAGAAACTTCGAAAAGTAACCAAAAATTTCGAAAAGTAACTAGAAACTTCAAAAAGTAACCAGAAATTTCGAAAAGTATCTAGAAACTTTAAAAAGTAACCAGAAATTTCGAAAAGTGACTACAAACTTCGAAAAGTTACCAGAAACTTCGAAAAGTAACTAGAAACTTAGAAAAGAAACCAAAACCTTCCAAGAAGTTCATAAAACTTTCAAAAAGTAACTAGATCTTTTGTAGCTTGACTGGAAATTTCGAGAAGTTTAAAAAACTTTGAAGAAACGACTAGAAATTTTGTAAAAGTAACAAGAACCTTTAAAAAAGTAACTAGAACCTTTGAAAAGTAACTAGAAACTTCGATCAGTTTAAAAAACTTCTAAGAAGCAGCTTGAAACATTGAAGAATAAAGCAGAAATTTTAAAAAATAACCAAAAATTTGAAAAGTAACTCGAAAGTTTGAAAAAGTAACTTGAAAGTTCGTAAAGTAACTAGAAACATTGGCAAAGTAACTTGAAAGTTTGTAAAGTAACTAGAAACTTTGAGAAATTAACTAAAACCATTAAAAAGTAAGTAGAAACATCAAGAATAATGAGAAACTTTTGAAGAAACAACCAAAAAACTTCGAAGAAGTAACTAGAAACTTCATAAAAGTAACAAGAAACTTCTAAAAGTAACTAGAAACTTTGAAAAAGTAACCAGATCCTTGAAGCAGTTTAAAAAATGTCAAAAAAATAATTAAAAAATTTTGAAGTAAAAACTAAAAACTTCGAAAAAATAACTAGAATCATAAAAAAGTTAGTAGGAACCTTAAAAAATAACTATAAACTTTGAAAAGTAACCAAAAATTTCGAAAAGTAACTAGAAACTTTGGAAAAATAACTAGAAACTACAAAAAAGTAACCAAAAACTTCGAAAAGTAACCATAAATTTCGAAAAGTAACCAGAAACATTGAAAAGTAACTAGAAACTTTATAGAGTAAATAAAATTTTTTAAAAATAATCATAAACTTTGAAGAAGCAACGGGAAACTATTAAAAGTAACTAGAAACTTCGAAAAAATAACTAATAACTTTGGAAGAATAACTAGAAACTTCGAAAAAATAACCAGAAACTTCGAAAAGTAACTAGAACCTTAAAAAAAATAACTAGAAACCTCGAAAAAGTAACTAGAAACTTAGAAAAGTAACCAGAAATTTCGAAAAGTAACTAGAAACTGTGAAAAAATAACTAGAAACTTCGAAAAAGTAACAAGAAACTTTCAAAAGTAACTAGAAAGTTTGGAAAAATAACTAGAAACTTCGAAAAAATAACCAGAAACTTCGAAAAGTAACTAGAAACTGTGGAAAAATAACTAGAAACTTCGAAAAAATAACCAGAAACTTCGAAAAGTAACTAGAAACTTTGGAAAAATAACTAGAAACCTCGAAAAAGTAACTAGAAACTTAGAAAAGTAACCAGAAATTTCGAAAAGTAACTAGAAACTGTGAAAAAATAACTAGAAACTTCGAAAAAGTAACAAGAAACTTTCAAAAGTAACTAGAAAGTTTGGAAAAATAACTAGAAACTTTGAAAAGTAACCAGAAATTTCGAAAAGTAACTAGAAACTGTGAAAAAATAACTAGAAACTTCGAAAAAGTAACGAGAAACTTTGAAAAGTAACCAGAAACTTTTGAGAAGTAACTAGAAAGTTTGGAAAAATAACTAGAAACTTCTAAAAAGTAACGAGAAACTTCGTGGATTAACTAGAAATTTCGAAGAGTTTAAGAAAAAAACCATTTGAAAAAAAAACTTCCGTGAAGTTAAAAGAAAAATTATGTTCCTAACCTAAACGAAAAAGAAAGGTGATTTTATGATTTTGAATGGAGCGATGAGTACATTGCCCAGAAGGGGTTTTGTGCCCCATCGTCAGAGGCACCATCGTCATCAACAACATCATCATCAACAACAACATCACAGTCATAATCATCGTAATGTAAAACATTATCAAGATCTTGTAACATCACCCGATGAAGAATCAGAAATTAAAAGACCCAAAGTTAATCCAATTTTTCTATGGGCATCGCAGCACGATCAAAAAATTGTCGAAGTACGCTGTGAGGATTATGATAAACGTAATCGTATTAAATTAACAAAAACAGCACAAGGATGGCGTTCAATACCAAGAACAGCGTCAAATACATACGCGGGTGTTATGAAGAAGAATTCCTCATCATCATCATCATCATCAGAAAAGGAAAATGGACCCAAAGATGACGAACAATTGAGAAGATTGGCTAATGGTGATTTAGAAGAATTTGGAATAAAGGAGAGAATTAATGGTGCTTGGATTATTGACGATGATGATAATGATGATGATGATGGTGAAAAGGAGGAAATGCGAAAAATTGATGAGGAACGTAAAAAATTGGAAATGGAGGAATTGAGAAAATTGGAGGAATTAAAAAAATTGGAAACAAAATTACGTGAGGAACGTAAAATGGAGGAATTGAGAAAATTGGAGAAATTAAAGGAATTAGAGGAGAAATTGGAACGACAACAATTTGAGGAATTACAGCGTATGGAGCATTTGAGAAAATTAGAGGAATTAATGATTAGTGGTAATCGTAATCCGGAATTAAAAAATAGAAGTGCAATACGTAAAAGAAGTGAAATAAGAAGGAATGATGAATTGAGAAAAAAAGAAAGTGAAATACAAGAGAGACGTAAAAATGAAGAGTTAAGAAAGAGAGCCGAGAGAAAGAAACGTGATGTTGTTGAGGTAAGAGAAAAATTAAAAGTTCGACATAAAAAGAAAAAAAAGGAACATGTAGTTTTGGGTTATTCGACAATTGATGGTATTAATGCATGGAAAATGCGTAAACGACGTAATGATCATCATAGAACGAAAAAAAGAAAACGAATTTCCGAGGAGAATGATGAAATTAAAAGAAAGAAACCAAAGAATATTGATTTTGATCATTTGATGCAGCCACGAGTTGTATTGGAACAATTGCAATTGACCGAAATGGACGAGGGTTTTAAGAATCGTAAGGATTTGGAGATTAAAATCAATTCGGCGATTAGACAAGATTCGGAGATTTTTGAAAATTCTGAATCTAGAGAACAGAATTCAAAATGTTTAGAACCAAAAGAATTTTTAGAATCTACAGAACATTTAGAATCAAGAGAAAATTTAGAAGAATTAGAAATAACGGAACATTTAGAAGAGGCGGAAATTTTAGAAGAACTACAAATTGATGACGAGAGAGATCTAAAAGACGAAATAGAAAGAATCAATGAAAAGGAATTAACGGAAGAGGAAAAATTGAATGATAATATTCTCAATGAATTAGAATCAAAAACCAATGAAAATATCACTGAAATTAAGGAATTTGAAAATGAGAACAATGAAACTGATATTGAATCAGTTGATCATTCAAGTGATGATGATTTTCAGGATATATTAAAAATGTTAGATTCCACATCGTTTACAAGTTCAAAACTTGTATTAAGTCTTAAATCGGCAAAAATTTTAGAGGAACTTGAATTATCATTAAATGGAATTGAAGACGATGTGGAAAAAAATGAATTTTTGGAAAATAATAATTTCCCTCCAATCAAGGAGGCTTTTCTCAATAATAATAACAATAATAATAATAATAATGAGAAGGCAAAAGATGTGGAAATATTTGACAATGAAGTGGAAATAATTGAAGCAACAAAAGATAAGGATTTGGAGATTTTAGAAACTGATAGTTCAAGAATTTTGAAAGCATTGAGAAATACACCGGGTTTATCGGTGTCGGTGACAAAATCACGATCACCTGATTCACAAATGGAAAGGGAAATTAGAATTGATGAGACAAATCGTTTGTCGATAGTAATACCTGAGAAATTAGGATTAGAATCACCTGAGAGTACTGTACAATTTCCACGATTGGAAACAGTGGAAAATAGTGATGATGATGATGAGGAGGAGGATACCCAAATAATGGATGATAAAAAAAATAAGGAACGTAAGGAGAAACAATTTCTTGAAATGAAATTACGTCGTTTAGATAAAAATTCAAATCCATTGTTACAAATTGTAACCAATGAAGCACAGGCTAAACGTGCAGGTGAAGAAATTGGTTTTCGAATTCATGAATTAATGATGGATGATTCAAAATCAAATAGCGCAGTATCACCACAACCAAGTGGTATTCCTTGTTCTCCAATTCTTCGTCGTTCATCATCAGCCTATTTAGAACGTTTATTACCAAGTCCACCGTGTTCGGTGACATGCTCCGAAGACGCTAAAAATGATCTCACTCTTAAAGGAATTTTATCATCTCCCTCTTGTTTGGAAGTTGATAAAACATCAAAAGAAGATCAAAATCAAATACTTCAATTATTACCACGTCAGCAGGAAATAAATAATGAATTATGGAAATCACAAGAAAATCAACAACAACAACAACAACAACAACAACAAATATATCAATCAAATGGACGTTCTATTATTAATAGTGCACAAAATGCATTTCTTATTGCACAACAAAGAGCCCAGGTATTTCGTTATCAACAACAATTACGTGCAGCATCAACTATTGATGCATTTCTTGATCCAACAATATCTGATAATCATCAAAGTCCAGCAACACAATTGAGACAATTATTAAAAACAATGGGTCATTTAATACCAGATCCTCTATTGGTACCAAGACATTGTTTACCAGGTTTAGCAGCAGCACCTTCAATTGAAATACCAAAATTATTAACATCAAGACCAGATTTAAGATTACCTGAAGCATTAAATAGGCCGGAATTACTAAGGGATCCGGATCTATTAGTTATATCGATAGCTCATCTTCAATTTGTTCTTGATCAGGGTCAGGATACATTTGGAAAAACTAATAATAATAGTAATAATAATAATAATAATAATAATAATAGACAGTCTCAGGGATATAGTGTGAATCCAATGATGGAGAATGTGAATAGTACTATTAGTGGAAAAAAAACAATTAATAATAGTAGTGGTAATAATAATAATAATAGTAATAGGCCAAGGCCAAAATTAAGTTGTAAACCAATTGGTACATTAATGCCGGCGCCAATTGATCTCTCGAGAAATAGGAAAAATAGTTCCTATTCATCATTGTTACGTGTACGTACTGGATTATTAAAACAAGAATCTGAAGTTAGTTCAACGGCAAGTAATATTGAGGAACATCATCAATTGTGGCATCCTTTATTTAGTCGGTGAGTTGTTTTTTTTTTTTGGGAAAAAAGTAAATTTTTTTTGGATTTAATAATTAAATATAAAAATTATTTTGTTAAAAAAGTTTATTCAATTCAATTTTTAATTGATTATAGTTGATTATTTCCAGAAAAATAATCGATTATCGATTTTTTTATTTCAAAAATAATCGATAATCGATTTTTATCTCGAAATAATCGATTAATTAATCAATAATCGATTTGTATCTTGAAATAAGCGATTTATTAATCGATAATCGATTTTTATCTCGAAATAATTGATTAATTAATCTATAATCGATTTTTATCTCGAAATAATCGATTAATTAATCTATAATCGATTTTTATCTCGAAATAATTAATTAATTAATCGATAATCGATTTGTATCTCGAAGTAATCGATTAATTAATCGATAATCGATTTTTATCTCGAAATAATTGATTAATTAATCGATTATTTTAAGATAAAAATCGATTATCGATTAATAAATCGATTATTTCAAGATACAAATCGATTATCGATTAATTAATCGTTTTCTTAATCAATAATCAAAGTTACAATATACAAATTATCGAATAATTAATCGATAATCGATTTGTATCTCGAAATAATCGATTAATTAATCGATAATCGATTTCTATCTTGAAATAATCGATTAATTAATCTATAATCGATTTTTATCTCGAAATAATTGATTAATAAATCGATTATTTTGAGATAAAAATCGATTATCGATTAATAAATCGACTATTTCAAGGTAGAAATCGATTATCGATTAATTAATCGTTTTCTTAATCAATAATCAAAGTTACAATATACAAATTATCGAATAATTAATCGATAATCGACTTTTTTATAGGATAAATAATTGATTATTATCGCATAAATAATCGATCGAGTAATCGACTAATCGATTTTTATTTCAAAATTAATCAATTAATTTATCGATAATCGATTTTTACGACATAAATTATTGATTTATTTATCGATTATTATCGACTTCTTATAGAATAAATAATCGATTAATTAATCGATAATCGACTTTTTTATAGGATAAATAATTGATTATTATCGCATAAATAATCGATCGAGTAATCGACTAATCGATTTTTATTTCAAAATTAATCAATTAATTTATCGATAATCGATTTTTACGACATAAATTATTGATTTATTTATCGATTATTATCGACTTCTTATAGAATAAATAATCGATTAATTAATCGATAATCGATTTTTATCGCATAAATAATTAATCGACTAATCGAGAATCAATTTTTATTGCATAAATAATATCGATTAATTAATTGATAATCGACTTTTTACAAAGAAAATAATAATCGTTTAAATAATCGATAATCGTTTATTCACGACCGAAATTATCGATTATTTAATCTATAATCCATTAATTTGATTTTGATTTCAATCAATTCTTTTGGTGTATGTCTATCTGTCTGTCCGTCATTTATTATAGAAATCTATTAATAACTTATTCAACCTAAAATTTAAAATAATAATAATAATAATAATAATAATGATAATAATAATTTATTATAATTATAATATGTTTAATTATAATATATTATAATTATATTTATACACGGACAAAATTTTTACCTGGAACAGCGATATGTTTCTCTAAAATAGCGAAAACTTTCACTATTTTAATGAAATATATCGCTATTCCAGTGAAACATATAGCTGTTCCAGGTAAAGGTTCTTTTTCCGTGTATAATTATAATTATAATATATTATAATTTATGTATTATAATTATAATTAATTTTTATTATTATTATAAAAATAACCATAATAATGATAATAATAATAATAATGATAATAATAATTTATTATAATTATAATATGTAAATTATAATATATTATAATTATATTTATACACACGGAGAAAAATGGAAAAACGAATAAAGTAACTTTTACTACTTTAAAAGTAAAATTCGACCTGTCCGAAGTTTCTGCGCATCTCTGGCAACTTTTACTCGAAAAATAGTAAAATTGACTATTTCTGTAGTAAATTTTACTGTTTCCGTAGTAAGTTTTACTATTTCTGAAGTAAATTTTACTATTTTTGGAGTAAAAGTTGCCAGAGATGCGCAGAAACTTCGGACAGGTCCAATTTTACTTTTAAAGTAGTAAAAGTTACTTTTTCTTTTTGTCCGTGCACGGACAAAATTTTTACCTGGAACAGCGATATGTTTCTCTAGAATAGCGAAAACTTTCACTATTTTAATGAAATATATCGCTATTCCAGTGAAACATATAGCTGTTCCAGGTAAAGGTTCTTTTTCCGTGTATAATTATAATTATAATATATTATAATTTATGTATTATAATTATAATTAATTTTTATTATTATTATAAAAATAACCATAATAATAATAATAATAATAATAATAATAATAAATGTTGAATAGACTAACTTTTTTTGTATTTTACCGCAAAGTATTGTAAAAATTACTAAAATAAGGATAGTTTGTATTTGTGTATAAAAGAAGGTGAATTAGGGGAATAACTTTTAAGTGCAAGGTTTTATTATTGGCTCTATTTCTAACTGGGTCGACTTTCTGCATCAGAAACTTACTACTATGCCCTCAACGTATTTATCTGCGTCTATGATTGTATTATATATATTGAGATTGACGGCTTTCAATATGACCCTGAGGGTGATGGGTTAAGTACGACAAAAAATACTTTAAGAATATAAACTCTTTCAAAAATGTTCGAATACAGATTTTTTTAAAAAAAATTTTTATTAATTAAAATTTTTTTTTATTTTATTCGCCTTTCAAGATGAATTTTTTCGAAATTATTATTTGATATAGGTAATTTCAAAAAAAAAAACGATTTTTCTGCAGAATTTTTAATTTAAACGAAAAATTATATTTAGAATTTCTTAATTGATAAAAATTTGCATTTTTCCAAAATTGCAAACGGCCGAAGTAACAAACGATTTTGGCGGCTTTTTTTTTAAAATCAACCAATCACAATTTTATGGATAATTTTTTGATTGGTTGATTTTTGAATATTGCCGCTAAAATCAATTGTTTCGGTTATTTGCAATTATTTTGGTTCAAATGAAAATTTTATAAATTATAAATTTTAAAAATAATTTTTCAGTCAAATTAAAAAATTTTGCAGAAAAATCGTTTTTTTAGGAAAATTCAATGAAATAATAATTCGAAGAAATGAAAAAATCGGCTTAAAAATTTAATTATATGACAAATGAAATTCCATAAAATTAAAATTTTTAATTAATAATTTTTTTAGAATCGAATTAGATTCAGAACCTAATTTAGAATGCGTTTCAATTCAAATCGCAGTCACTTAGAGAAAAGTCAATTTCTTTGATTTAAAGAAATCAGTTTCTATGACTTGTTTTCTTTGATTCAAAATAAAAAATTTTTTTTTTGAAACAAAAAAAAAGTCTTCTTAGTTTTAGAGAAAATTTCTTTGATTCAAAAAAAAAAAAAAAATTTCTTTGAAGAAAATAAATTTTGTGCATTAAATCGAAGAAATTCTAACATTGATATATATATATATATACTAGAGGGGCTACGCCCCCCTGCGCGCTTTGCGCGCCAACCCCCCTATTTTAATCATTTTTTTTTAATTTTCCATTGATCTTATTTTTCCAAATGAACCAGCTATTTCAAAGAATTATTATTACAAATTCATTGAAATCTGTATAAATATTATTAAAATTAAAATTATTGAATTTTAATTAATAAATTAATTAAACTAATAATAAATAAATAATTAAATAAATTAAAATCGACATTAAGAAATTATTTTTAAAAATAATTTCAATGAAATTGCCTAACAACCAATAAATTATTAAAAAGTCTTGAAACGAACATAACCTTTAAATTCAAGTCATTTTTGGCAGAAACTCCACCTTCACTTGCGGCTATATTGAAAGTCTTGAAATTTACATAACCTTAAAATTTATGTCATTTTTGGCAGGAAATACAGAGAGAAATGAGGGAAGGGGGAAGGACTTACTGCTTTATTAGGGTCTTAAAACAAACATAACCTCACAATTTAGGTCAATTTTTGGCGGAGGAGGGGAAATGAGAGGAGGGAGGGGGGACTTGCGGCTATATTCAGAGCCTTGAAACGAACATAACCTCAAAATTTAGGTCATTTCTGTCGGGGGAGGGGAGGGAATTGCGGCTATATTCAGAGTCTTGAAACGAACATAACCTCAAAATTTAGGTCATTTCTGTCGGGGGAGGGGAGGGGACTTGCGGCTATATTCAGAGTCTTGAAACGAACATAACCTCAAAATTTAGGTCATTTTTGACGGAGGAGGGGAAATGAGAGGAGGGAGGGGGGACTTGCGGCTAAAATCAGAGCCTTAAAACGAACATAACCTCAAAATTTAGGAGGGGGGGACTCCCCTCCCCCCTCCTAGGTCAAGAATTCTTGAAACAGCGGCGGCGGCGGCGATATCTTTTTGTAATATAGGAAGAGAAGATATATATATATATAATAAAAAATTTCTTTAAAACGAAGATAATTTTTTTTTCTGAATCAAAGAAAAATTTGTCAAAGAAATTGATTTGTTTGAATCAAAAAAAAATCTTTTTTCTCGGTGGTGAAAGTGAAAATGACACTATAAAAATTAAAGTTATTGTAAATGGAGGTAAATTAGAAATAAGAAAAAAAATAACAAAAAAGAAAAAATGGAAAATTTTTTTCCCCTTATTATTATAATATATAGTTTTAAGTGTGAATGTACAAGAATGGTGAATCGATGATGTGCGCGGGCGGTCAAAAGAAATTACCACGAAACAAAACTTGCGGTCAATGGTCTTCGCGTGACCACTATTACACGTATTTCTGAGCTGTTTTTTTCTTTTTTTTTTCTTTCTTTACTTGGGCACGTGGGAAACGTATACATATATATATATATATATATATATCGCGATCCACAATTATTTTCACTAATTTTTTTTTTTTTTCATTTATATTTAATAAAGAATC